GGGTCGCCATGGGTCGAGGCCAATGTGACAGCAGTTAACAATGACAAATGCCACTAAAAAGATGCCAGCACTGTGTCAAGCAGAAATGTCTAGAGAGAGAATCCATAATGAGGGTGCCACTACAAAGAAGGCCTTGCTCTTTTACACCAACCCATCTGACTTGAGCAGGAAGGGAAAATGGGCAGCTCTGTCCAGGGGGTTTATCAGGCCTGGAGAAGGAGATGCCCTGCCACTTCCCCCAAAAGCAGCTACGGATGTATGGTGAGCAACATGGAAGTGCCACAGGAAAGGACAAATATATATACTGGAACTAAACTAAGGGGAATTTGCTTTGTAAGGATGCATCTGAGGCAGTAGACTGAAGTCTACAAAAGCTCATGCTGTCAATTTCTTTCTTTCAGTTAGTCTCAAAGGTGCTACAAGATCTCTCTACGTACTGATTCTACAGACTAACACAGCTATATCTTTGAATTCTTTTGTTTGTAAGGTTACGGGATAAAAGAACCGTCTCCCCCATCCTCAACTGTCCAACATCAGGTAGCAGAAAAGACCATATGAAGCTGATTATGGAGGAGAGGGTGGCACTAGGGTACCCTGTGCATGAACTGTTGCAATACAGAAGGTTGCTTTGATAGTACTAGGAGATCAAAATATTTTCTTGTTGTTGTGGAGATTAATAATTTCTATCTAAGTTTTCTACAAAAGTACTCAAGGCAAGATGTTGATTCCAAAGACAGCTATTACTAGAAATGAATTAACTATTCAAATCCTTAATTTCTTCCCATTGACAATCAAAAGGATGGGAAGCTGCTTCATTTTGTTAGTTCTTTCTCATTGTTACTCTTCCTTAGTACTATGGCTACAGTGAACAACATTTGGAAAATGCTAAGATGCACTCTTCCCCTTTAGTCTCTCCTTTTTGTTATCTAAGTAGATACTGTTGCTACAGCCAATCATACAAGTTGCCTTCCAAACCATATATCATCAGTACAGTCCCCCTCTGAGTCCTTTTCAGTTTTCCAGGATCAGCCACCCTGAAATGTGGAACCTGGATTCAAGCAATTTATTTCCTCTGGGAAGGATCCTCAACCTAAGACATAGTGCTGCTGTTTCTCTGCTTGTTTTATTATAGCATTGTTGTTTATGATTTGATTTTATGCCATATCATTTTAACTAAGATGTTTTAATACTTTCTGGTTTAATACTTTTTTAAAGGTTGGGTGGGCTTTGGGCTTTGGGGGATTTATATTGTATGTAATTTTAATTGTTGTTAGCCGCCTTGATTATTCTCAGAGGGGTGGGGTACAAATACATTGTTATTATTGTTGTTGTTGTTGTTGTTGCCTTTATTAAAGCCATCTGCAATTGTCTGGAGTTTTTTGGCCACAGAACCACACTGTCAGTTCACGTACAAGGGTCTGCCATAAGTCCTAAGTGCCTCATAGCAAATATACTGGAATGCAACATCCATCAGCATTTGGGAAATATTCCTTTTTGGAGCAAACCTCACAGAATGGCCATGCTGGCTAGAAGATTGTAGGTGCTATAGGTGAAAAATCAACCTTTCCAATCTTATAACCAGCAAAAAAATGTATATATATATATATATAAACTATCACATTTATATCTGGCCTTTTTTTCTTCCAATACAGAACTCAAGATAGTGCTCCTGGAATTCCCATGAGATATCTCATCCAGGCCCTAACTGGAACTAATTGTTGTTTTTTTCTGAGACATTGAGCCTTCTCTGTAAGAGAGCTCTGGTGCCACAATAAAATACAGTTCCCATGATTCCCTAGCACTAACCCTAACCCTAAAAGTGGACTCAATTTGCATTATTTCTGGCAGTCTGCAACCCCTGTTTGTTTCCTTCAGTTTCCATCCTGGTACTTTGAAAATAATTCCTAAGTGCATTTTCCTGAGGAGAGGGCTTATATTTTTCTATGGATTTCCATAGGGAAGCACATCCTAATTTAAGAACAAATGGTGTATAGGGCTGCAGCCTAAATATCTATATGTATGAAGGATGTCTCTATGAGAAGCAATGAGATGGAGATGAACCAACCATGCTACCAAATTCCATATTTTTATCTTTCTGGATATTTACCACATATTTGACATGGATCATGTATTACTTCCTTTTTAAAAAACCCAGTCATCACCTTGATAAGTATTTTGTGGCATTCCACTGCTTTTTGCTGCCATTTTGTTTCTATAGATGAAGATTCTGAACACTACTTTCCTTGTTCTTTACCCTTAACTGCATATGCTGTAATTTAACTTGGTTGCTTGTGATGAATCTGATTGTTTGGTATACAAAAGGACATGGTATTGTCCTGTCAGACCTAAACATGACTCATATCACCAACAATATTATATTGGTACTCAACACAGCAAGTAGGATTAAAGGTAAATGGGGCCAAATGACACCAAAAACTGTAAAGAGTAAAACAGTGCAGAGAATGTGGATGTGTTTGCAAGGAATGCCAACAATTAAGGCCTTT